TGATTCTTAGTGGGGAATGGGGGAATGGGTTATTGGGACTACTATAGGGGACTTTAAAGGACTATGATAGGGATCCATTCCCCCATTCCCTACTAAGAAACAGGGAGTCTTCGGTTAATGGAAGTGGCTTGGGGTTTTGGGCTTTTTGGGGCAAGTTTGAGGGTTTGGGGGCCTTTTTGGGGTAAGTTTGAGGGTGTTGGGCTTTTTAGGGTACGTTTGAGGGCAAGGATTAGGATTTAGGGGTTTATTTCTCTGGTTCAGGCTTAAGACTTCTTGGCTTAAGGCTTCGCACCTTCGGGGTTTAATGTTTCTGCGTGGGATGCTGCATGTCGCACATTTTGCATCTTTCTTTCGACCCTTTGCTGCGTATCTGTTTGCACACATGTGTATAAGAATAGCTTCAGAGAGGCGTGAGCACCAAGCAAAGGGCTTCAAGGAAATGAAGCTGCTGCGGTTTAGGGTTTAGGGTTGATAGGGTTTATAGGGTTTGTAGGGGTTTAAAGGGACTCCATTGTCACTCTAGCCCGGCCCAAACTAAATCCTGGTCAATGGCAAGCTAACATAAACAACATGTGCTGCACAACATCGAAGACGAGGGGGTCGGCAAAGCTTCAACCCTAAACCCTATACACCCTAAACCCAAAATCCCTGAACTCTAAACCTGAAGGCCGAAACTGGTCCCAAAGCCCCCGATTTCCCGGACCCTCTGCGATCACCTCTCTGCGATCACTGCTAGGGCCGAGAGGAACCAGCAGTCTCCGACGGCACCCTGCCGCAGGACTTCGGGAAGTAATGTAGGGGCCTTCATAATAATTGGAATAGGGTTTTAAGGGTTCCCTATCAGAAATATAGTACCATACACCCCAAACCCTATTCTAATTATTAAGGCTCCTATATTAGAGGGTTTTGGGGTTTAGGGGTGTAAGAGCAGAGCTCGGGATCCACCCGGGTTCAGTTTAGTGAGTTTAGTGTTCAGGGTGGCTCGGCATCTAGAGGGTTGACTTTCGTGAGTTTAGTGTTCAGGGCTTAGGGATGTAAAGGGGTCGCTTACAAAGTTCTGTGGCAGCATAGTGCTTCCTGTGGTTCTGTAGGCTTTTGATTAGCATTTCAGCTTCATGGGTGGGCCGTCAGCAAGGCAAGTGAACACAGTTGAACATCCAGGTTGGGTTCAAGAGCGTTGCTGCATGTTGCTTGCTGGGTTTCAGGGCAGTGGTCGCTCATTATCAGCAGCACCGTTGATCTAAATTTTCATATTTAAATAGCAATGTATTTAAATTGCTAATATTAAAATAGCAAACTAATTACATGAGTTGGAAATGTTTCAACAGCAATTTGAATAAATGCCTAATATTTGAATAAGAATTTAGTTAAACTGAAATATTTAAAGACAAATGTAATTAACTTCCTAGTATTTAATTAGCAATCTTAGGATCCTTGTTTTGAGCTCGGCTCCTTTTGTGTCCCCTCCCGAGGTTCGAAGAAACATGCTGAAGCAGAACAGGGCTTGAGGGCGGCCGCAGTAGAAACGTTACCGCCCCCATATGGCCGCTAAACCCACCCTAAACCCTAAACCCTAAATCCCAACCCCTATAAGCTAAGATCCCCAGAAATGCCCAGCAACCCGGGAATTCAAAGAAGGCCTCACATTTTGGCATTGGGTGCTTCTATAAGCAACCTGGACCTAGGGCCCACGAAAAAGGAAAACATGGCACACTGGGAGCCCTGGTATTTATCCCTGATACTTCCGGGCGGGCACCAAACTCCCAAGATCCGCTTCTGCTAGGCAGGCAGCTGGCAGGCAGGCTAGGAAGGTCCGGAAATTAACAAGCAGCAATTTAGTTTAAGGTTTAGGGTTTAGGACTTATTTATACTTATAAACATAGTAATGATCATAGTGACAATAATAATGATAATGATAATGTTTTTTTCGAGTTGCTAAGTGCCATAATTCCAAGTAGGATCTCAATTCAGGCACTTATAGCTCTACTATGTTCCCTACTTACGATATCCTCTGACCCTCCCAGGGGCGCTCGGTGTCAGGGTCCTTGCGCACTTGCGTTTGTCAGGTCTTAAGAGGTCTTTGAGGTGGAGTTAGTGCTTGAGGTTTTTAATGGGGCTTGGAGTGCTTCGAGTGGTCAGGGTTTTGTTGATGGTGGGGCGGGGTTAGGCTTAAAGATGTTGAAAGGTAGTGTTTTAAGGTTTACGGCTTGACATCTAAGGCTTCGCGAGTTTTTAGAGTTATCAGGGTTGTCAGGATTCAGTTGGGTTTGGAGTTTCATTTGCCGTTTCGGGCTTGGTGCTTCCGGTTTACGCTTTAAGGTTCAATGCCCCTATGAGAAGGGTAGACCAATACTTCCCCTGATTGCTAGTCGCATCGAACATTTCGTTCGCGCCGATGGCTGCCATGACGCGCTTGTTGACATCTCGATGCACAGAGAGGATCTGTCTGGAACGGAAAGTCCTACCCATAGGCCCCTAAGTAGGCCCTTTTTGGGATTACCTTATAGGATTCTAAATATGAACCATAAAAAGGAACTACTTAGGGGCCTATGGGTAAACCCTAAACCCCAATAAACCGTAATCCTAAGCACCATTGCAAGTTGACCGTCCCATCAATCCTAGACCCCTAAAGCCCTAAAACCCTAAACCCTAAAACCCTAAAAACCCTAAAGCCCCTAAAAACCCGAAACCCTAAAGCCCTAATTTCCCGGCCTGAAGCAAGTCATCCGCCCGAAATCCAGTGTCCTGGACCTGGTTCGGGATCGAAGATAGGCATAGGCTGTGCCAAATTCTATGTTGTAAGGCTCGTAGTTTGGGGCTTAAATAGGGTTTAGGGTTTAGGGAACTATGAGTAGTTTAGTGTTTAGGCCTTTGGGCTTCTAGCAATTTGGGGTCTTGGGCCGGGGCTGTTGAAGTTGCGTCGCCGGCACGGCCTCCCCTCCGAAAAGCCCGAGGCTCTAAAGGAAAGACTCTGAAGTTTGGTCCAAATGGTAGTGAAAGCATCAATGTGGGTAGTTCTCTAAACTAGGGTCCCCTTTTAGCGCCCCAATATAGTACGACAGCCTTATAAAAAGGACCCCAAAAGGTTCCCTATTAAAGAGAACTACTCATGTGGAAGTTCTTAAAAAGCGTTTGACCCGAAAATGGATTCGAAGCAGAAGGATCCTTGTTACAAGGAGTACAACGTCTGCTGATTTCGTTCAGCCCCTACTTTGGAATAGCCCCCCCCCCACTGTATCGAACCACGCAAAACCCTTGCAACACCGTTTACCACCCGGAAAAGCCTGAGAAAGATCAATCAAAACACTTTAACCAACAAAACTCCATTCCACTTCTGTCAGGATTTAAGGATTTAGGGGTTTAGGGTTTAGGGTTTTAGGGTTCCTCTAAGAGGGTTTGGGAGCAGGTTCCTGGGGCCACTCGTCGAGCAGCCGGGGCGCGAGGGTGAAGTTTTCCAGGCGCTGCCACCAGACGTTTGAGGAGAGGCGCTCGAGATGCGTAACCCACCTTTTCGTCGGGGGGAGGGGTAGGTTTCAGGACTTTTTGTTGAACACCTTCTTCCGTCACACAATCTTTTTTACACACCGCGCCAGGGGAACGTGGCGGCTGATGGAACCAAAACGGCCAATGCCGCTTAGGCATTTTGGATTTCGGGTTTAGGGTTTATAATGGTTCAAGATTCATCTTTCGTGGCAGTCATATAGACGACCTCCAAGATCCATCAATCCGACGGAGTTACTGTCGATGCGGCAAGCACCACTGCGCAAGCAGCAGCAAGGTGAAAGAAATAACCGCGAATGGTGTCCTCCTCATTAGGGGATCAGGTAGCCACTCACGGAGACTTTGATCAAAAGCGATCTCCATGTACGGGTACCCCACCAGCACAAGCGTCCCACACGCTACGAGGAGCGAGGACTGCAGCACGTCCAACGACGTCCAACTGCGCTGCCTTCGGAACACATAGCCCAAGCGCTGCAGTACTAAGGCTACGGTAGGATTCATGGCAAGCCAATACGTGAGGCCGAGGAGTAGCAGATCATATGGAATCTTGCTGACTTCCCCGCTTGTCAATTTCCTCAGCATGGTGTGCACGGCTTTAAAAACAAAACAAGGAACAACCGCAAACTTGTTGTTTAGCCCACAAAGCACCCCTGGTCCGGATCCCCAACATAAGCTGGAACAGTTTCACAATTCGGGAATAAGCTTCCGCTCCAGGTTGGCCGTAAAGACATCCGCCCAATAGAAGAAGACAGGAACTGCGACCTGCACCATGTGCCAATAGGAAAGGACCTGCTGTCACGGGAGGGCCGCTCGTTAGTCCTAGAACGTGCGCATGCAGTCCTTCTGTGGTCAAGGCTGCTTTCTGCATGTTCCATCAAAGCGGCTTTTTCTGACATCCTGCTTAAAGGCTTACGGGCAGTCATCCACATGACTGGTACGAGTTGCAACCCTCCAACTGCACCTACAAACCCCAGCCCCCATTCCTCCAGCCTGAGTGGTGAGCTGCTCGACTAAAGCCTCCTTCACCTCTGACTGCACTTGGTGATGAAAGGCCTCAATGCTGCCGAACCAAGTGCCTATGCATCGTCGCAAGATCTCCCGGTCGCACGGCATAGGCATTCCATTAACTTCTGGATGCCCCAGAGCGCAGCAGTGGCACTCCGCGCGGTCGACGTCGAAACTGCCGAACTGGGCCTCCAGCATGTCCACGTCTCGGTAGTACGCGCGGAATTTACTGCCAAACCGGATGAACATGACGATAGGAATGCACAGAAGAAGCACCGATGAAAGCGGCTTTTCGGCAAGTTCTGGGAGATTCCGCCCCAGCACGTGGCTCAGCAGAATTGAGGTTATCACCAACAAGCTTCCGACTAAGGAAAATGGCCCCGTGATCGTGGGCTGGACCACAATTTGGCGCAGGCTTTTCTCTGGGTGGCTGTGCAGAAATGCGGCCAGCCTCAATTCGACAGAGGAATATCTTTCATCTTTAGAAACGAAGGGAAACAAGGCTCGCTCGCTCACTGAGTCACTCTCCCATACACTCACACTCGCGCCCATGCTCACAATCGCCCTCGCACTCTCACATGCGCTCTCAGTCTTACCCAGTCACCCCGTCACTCACTTACTCGCTGCCTCACTCACAAACAAACCAACCCACTCGCAAACCGACTCAACATATTGCTCGCTATATTCGTTATATCAGTTCAGAACTTACACATCTGTCCAGACTGCAAACTTCCCAGCCAAGGCTCTCAAGCATGCACCACAAACGCTGTGCGTAAGTCGGGTCCCATAGCACAAGCAAAGAATCGGAGCTCTTGATGATAGCCCCAAGGCTAACCAGCCCTTCGGCCTTTAGTTGTGGATTGGTCTGGTGGATGCAACAGCGGTCAACGAAGACCAGCTCCGATCGTCGCCAAAAGATCAAGGTGAGGACATAACTCGCTGACCCGACAAGGCTGCACCATCCACACTGCTCGGTGAATTCTGGGAGAACGTGCAAGACGTAGAGAGGGACCACACATGCAACCGAAGCTAAGCTGATTACAGCTGCTGCTGTACCATTCTTGAAAAAGAGAAGAGTTGCGATCTTCATCCACACGGATGAATGCCAGCTATGCGACCAAAACGTGTGAATCCTAGAGGTCTGTCCGCTCATGCCGTAGAAGTCCCCCGTCTTGCTGCGGAAAGGTCTGCCGAGCCTACCCAGCACTTTCCCTACTGGTGCAGCCCTCAGGATCTCAGGGCATGTGGGATTCATCCCGGAGATGACTGCAGCCACGCATTCAAGGTGATCAGGGAGGACAACTTCCTGGGCAGCGGAGCTGCGATCCGGTCCTCGATCCTTGGCCAGATCAACCTCCACGTCAGCTCCGTACACTGCCTCCCGGCCCAGTGCACATGGAGCGGGCGAAGCGGGCCACTGGCCGGCCATGGAAGCTCAGTGTCACCGTGACTTACCCTGATCAGAAATAGAACACAAGTGGTGAAAATATTGACCCTAAACCCTAAACCCTAAAGCCCATACTGAAACACATGGCCCGAGACGAGATGTGGCCCTAAGGTAGTCCACCGGGCGTTTAGGCTTTAGGCCCTTTAGGCTTGAGGGTTTTTAGGATTTAGGCTTTAGGCTGCAGGCTCAGGCCTGGGTTAGGGTTGTAGGGTGAAGGGTTTTAGGGTTTAGGGTATTGGGGTTTTGGGGTATAGGCTTCCCGGCTAGTCCTCTGAAACCAGGGGCATGCCTCTTCGAGGCAGCCACTTTTAAAGACTTGAGCCTTTCGGTAGACATGCGGCCGTTGGAGGTGTGCAAGGTAAGGTTTACCTAAACCGCCAAAAGTAGGTAAAATAACGGCCCAAAGCCTCTAAAAGGCTATTATTCTACATACTGTTGGGGTCCAGGTAGGGTCTACGAAGATCTACGAACTTTCTGCGGCGCGCTCTCAGCGCTGGCTCAGAGCTGCGCGAAGTCTTATCTTTTTCGCCGTCCGCCCAGCCTCATCGAGCTACAGCAATGCAAGATTTGTCGGCTTAGTTCCTCTATTGAGGGTACCTGGCTCGATTCTGATGAAGTCATGAATGCATGAAGCCTGAGCATCAAACGAAGCTGAGACAGGAAATGTAAACCCTAAACCCTAAACCCCCCAAAACCCAAAACCCCTAAAACCCTAAACCCGGAGGTGTTTTTGCAGGACTGTCTGAAAGAGACTGGCACTTCGGATCTCTCGATTACCTTCTTCCCTAAACCCTAAACCCTTTGGGGGACCTTATATTCAGGATACTACGCTTTGGGATCTACATGGTGAATTGAAACTGAGGGAGACTGATACAGAGCCGCAATAAAGAGAGAGCATTGCTTTCGTTTGGTATCGCTGAACAAACTTTAGTAACTGAAGTTTCCGGTCAAAAACTTGGAAGCCCTAGAAGACCCTTACAGAGCCTATACTTTAAAAAAAAACCGATGAAACGCCGAAGGAAGCTCTAGAGCCTAAGCTCTAAACCTTGAACCGTGCTGAGACCCTGCATTTCTGACATCCGACCATGGTCGGCCTGAAGAAGTTGCAGCCGTTCTGCCTGCGGGATCGAACGATCTCGGGTTTTCGGGAGTTTTAGGGCTTGGGGAGTTAGTTGAAGGTTTTGGATGTTTTTTCTTTTTTGTTCTTTTTTTTTGGGGGGGGGAGGGGTTGGGGGATTAGGGTGGAGGACTTAATTGTGCTTTAGGGATCTGGGGTCATGCCTTGGTTAACAGGTTTCGGGATGGGCTTACCAGGTTGGGCGTAATCCCAACTTTGCCTGCCACAGTGCCAGAAAAGCCGCGATCTGCTGGAGCCTGACATGTGTCGAACCGTCTAATTACTTGCCGCAAAAGTCTTTGACATTTCTCCGTTCTGATGAAGGGCGCGTAACTTCCAAACCGTAATCAATCGTAAGAATGCATCTGGCTTACGTGTCGGTAAAAAGGCGGGTAGCCGGTTTTAGTGTCGATCATGATACTGACCCGAAACAGCACGCATATAACACAACTCAAGCACGAGACAAAGCCGATCGCACGAAGGACATCTTGTTTCTTGCCATGCTCACCCGAGAGCTTCATGTCCTCATGTTGAGAAGCTCCTACATTGACATCAATCTAGGCGAAGCTCCACATCACACCAATCCGGCCGATGTGCAGATTGTTCCTGGGCAGCATGCTAAAGGCTGAGGGTCCACCCACTTGCAAGACAGTTCCTGGCCCAGACTCAACATCCGAGACTTCATAAGTCCTGAACCCACAGAGGACTCCTTCGTGCTAAGAGGTCCTGCATCGCAAACCCTGGAACCCGAAATCGAGCTCCTACTTCATAGGGCAGTAAGGGGATTGAGGCTCCTGGAGAAACTCGGCGACGGCAGCTGCCACAGCAGGCGCAGTGTCCGGATCGAGGTGCAGGTGGTGTCCTAGCGCTTCTAGTTCAGGTAATATCACCGTTGCAGTACTTTTGCTGGTCATCTAGCTAGAAAGCGAGCTAGTAGTGGTGGTAGTAGTACACCAGCAGTAGTAGTGTAGTAGCAGCAGCAACAGCAAAAGCAGCAGCCGCAGCAGCAGCAGCAGCAGCAGCAGCAGCAAGCAGCAGAAGTAGTAAAGTAGTAGTAAGTAGTAGTAAGTAGTAGTAAGTAGTAGTACGTAGTAGAAAGTAGTAGTAAAAAGTAGTAGTAAGAAGAAGTAGTAGTAGTAGTAG